TCATCCTCTGCCCGCTCAGGTTTCATCTTCACGGGGGACGTCATGCACCGCATGCTGACAGCCACGCAGTACATCGCCCCGCTCATGGCCAACTTCAACCCCAGCTACTCGCACAACTCCACCGTGCGCTACCTGGACAACGGTGAGTGCCAGCCCCGCTCCGTCCTCGGCCAGGCGGGCTCGGCGCTGGCACCGTGTCACCGCCGGGGCAGGCATGGTGACAGGTGGCACGGGGCTCTGCTGGTGGCAGCTCGCTGGGCAGGGAGCGGGGTGAGCTTTCCCCGGCGTGGGCTCTCTGCTGGCGTTTTCTGCCTCTGTCGGGGTTGAGGCGCTTGAGAGGATGGGATGGGATGGGATGGGATGGGATGGGATGGGATGGGATGGGATGGACAAAATGGGATGGACGGGATGGGATGGATGGGATGGACAGAATGGGATGGAAAAGGATGGACAGGATGGGATGGGACAGGATGGGATGGACGGGATGGGATGGGATGGACAAAATGGGATAGAAAAGGATGGACAGGATGGGATGGAAAAGGATGGACAGGATGGGATGGGATGGGATGGATGGGATGGGATGGGATGGGATGGGATGGGATGGGATGGACGGGATGGGATGGATGGGATGGACAGAATGGGATGGAAAAGGATGGACAGGATGGACAGAATGGGATGGACAGGATGGGATGGGATGGACAGGATGGGATGCTATGGACAAGATGGGATGGAAAAGGATGGATGGGATGGACAGAATGGGATGACAAGGATGGACAGGATGGGATGGGATGGGATCCATGGGATGGGATGGGATGGACAGGATGGACTGGGATGGACAAGGATGGACGGGGATGGATGGGACAGAATGGGATGGACAAAATGGGATGGGATGAATGGGATGGACAAGGATGGACAAGATGGGATGGGATGAACGGGATGGGATGGGGTGGGATGGGATGCTTCTAATACAACTTTTAAACTCTTATAGACTCTTTAAAGACTTTTAAACTCTTTATAACTCTCTTTTAAACTCTTTATAACTCTCTGTAACTTCTAAACTCTTTACGCTCTTCACCATCTAACCCAACACAGTTCCTTACTTACAACTCCACAAACATAACTTCATTCTTTTTCTACCTAACATCCTTTATTTCCACATCAATCCGAGCTCCTCCTAAGGCTGCAGATCAAACTCTTTGGGATCCGTGGAATTCCCACAGCTGGGGATGTTCTGCTCCGCTCCCGGCGGATGCTGGAGGTTGGGGGGTGAGGACGGAGCAGGGGGAGAAGAGGGAAGGACTGAGCGGCTCTGGTCCCCCCCAGGGACGGTGTTCGTGGTGCAGTGGGACAAGGTTTATCTCCAGGGCAAGGAGGACATGGGCAGCTTCACCTTCCAGGCCGCCCTGCACAGCAGCGGGAGGATCGTCTTCGGCTACAAGGAGGTGAGAGAGGGGATGGGCCACGAGGGTGGGCTGGGAGGGGGGTGGACATTCCTGGGGCTGGGGCAGGGCTGGGATGTGTCCCACCCGTGTCCCACCCGTGTCCCACCTGTGTCCCACCTGTGTCCCACCCATGTCCCACCCATGTCCCACCCGTGTCCCACCCGTGTCCCACCCGTGTCCCACCTCTGTCCCCGCTGTCCCCGGCAGATCCCGGTGCCCGTCCTGCAGATCAGTGCCACCCAGCACCCCGTCAAGGCCGGGCTCTCCGACGCCTTCATGGTCCTCAACCGTTCTCCGGACGTTCCCGGTGAGTCCCCGGGGAGCCGATCCCGCGGCGGGATCCTCGTCCGTCCGTCCGTCCGTCCTGGGCCATTTCGGGGTGGGAGGTGGCCCTGCTTGGATTCCAGCGAGCAGGAGGAGGGCTGTGGGCTTTGCCTGCTCCTCATGTTCCCTGTGACCCTTTCTGGGATCTCTTTTTGGGATCCCTTTTTGGGATATCTTCTTGGGTTATTTTTTCCTTTTTGGGTTCTTTTTTCCTTTTTGGGATCCCTTTTTAGTATCTCTTTTTTGTATCCCTTCCTTTTTGGGGATCCCTTTTTTGGGATCCCTGTTTGGTATCTCTTTTTGGATCCCTTTTTGGGATCCTTTTTTGGGATCCCTGTTTGGTATCTCTTTTTGGATCCCTGTTTGGTATCTCTTTTTGGATCCCTTTTTGGCATCCCTTTTTGGGATCCCTGTTTGGTATCTCTTTTTGGATCCCTTTTTGGGATCCCTTTTTGGGATCCCTTTTTGGGATGCGCGTCCCCACGGCCACAACCACCCGTCGGCCTCGTGCTCTGGCTGGAACTTCGCCCATTCCAGAACCTCCAGGAGCTTTTCCCTGATTCCCAATGCTGAGGAAGAGGAGGGAAACCAAACCCTTCTTCCATTCCGAAGGATGGAATGCAGACGGACCAGAGGCTCGGGGGGTTCGGGGCGCCCCAACCCCATCGAGATGGAAAATTTGGGGGGTCTGCAGCTGCCCCAGCAGGATGCTCTCACCCTGGGATGTGGGAATGCTCGTTCCCTGTGTGCCCCGAGCTCAGAGGCAGAGTTAGAGAATAAATTTATTTAAAGATCTCTTCAATGAAAGATTGGCCAGGCAGAGTTAGAGAATAAATTTATTGAAAGATCTCCTCAGTGAGAGATTGGCCAGGCAGAGTTAGAGAATAAATTTATTTAAAGATCTCCTCNTTGGCCAGGCAGAGTTAGAGAATAAATTTATTGAAAGATCTTCTCCATGAGAGATTGGCCAGGCAGAGTTAGAGAATAAATTTATTGAAAGATCTCCTCAGTGAGAGATTGGCCAGGCAGTTCCAGAACCAAGCAGGGATTCATTAAAAGATCTCCTCAGTGGATCCACCTTGGGCAGCGCCAGAGCCCAGCCAGGGCTGCACCCGAAATGAACCAAAATGGTTCAAAATGGACCCAAAATGGACCCAAAATGGTCACAAAATGGTCACAAAATGGTCACAAAATGGTCACAAAATGAACCCAAAATGGACCCAAAATGGTCAAAAAATGGAACCAAAATGGACCCAAATGGTCACAAAATGGACCCAAATCACAAAATGGACCCAAAATGGTCACAAAACAGACCCAAAATGGACCCAAAATGGTCAAAAAATGGAACCAAAATGGACCCAAATGGTCACAAAATGGACCCAAAATGAACCCAAAATGGTCACAAAAATGGACCCAAATGATCACAAAATGGACCCAAATGGTCACAAAATGGTCACAAAAATGGATGAGGTCACGGGGTCTGTCACTTTGCTAATTTCTCCTTCATTTGCATATTGGAGTTAATTGCCCAGTCCCAGCTTTAGCCCGTGCAGTCCCACCCTGCTGGTTTTCCTCTCTCCAGCCCGCGCTGTTGGTGCTCCTGGGCTGAGATTTGGATCATTTCTCCTTGGCCCCAGCTGGAGCAGGAATTGTTTCGTCTCTGCTCTGTGCACAGAGCTCACCATCCCATAATATGCAAACCCCACACCCTAAATCAGCACAAAATTGGCAAAAATATAAAAATCAAACCCTGAGGGACCTGGCCGTGAGTCAGAGCCGGCTGATTTTGGTTTGGAGCAGTTTTGGGAGCGGCTCAGGCTGCAGCCCCGGCCCCTCCCAGCCTGTTGGATTAAGATTTTAATCCTCCCCCAGAGATGAATTTTTAAAAACTTTTATTCCATTTTCAGTCCCGCGCCAAGGGCGAGACGATGCAGATGTTACAATTCACGGCATCGCCATCAGCAGCCAATTATTTCCTAATTACAACACGCCAAAAACAAGCGGGGGTTTTTTGGCTTTTAACGCCGTGCTGTAAATGCTTTGAAGCAAATTAATTCAGCATTTCTTATCTCAAAGTTTGCACACAAATACTCATTTAAAAAATAAAAAAAAAACACAATTCATTTGTGGGTGGGAATTCTGCTAGAAAAACGCTGCTGAAACGACAGCCGAGAATAAGTCCCGCACTGATTCATTTGAAAATCAAAAATGGGAATGTTCCGTTTGCTCCTTCAAATCCACTTCCCAAAAACTAAAAATGGGAATGTTCCGTTTGCTCCTTCAAATCCATTTCCCAAAAATCAAAAATGGGAATGTTCTGTTTGCTCCTTCAAATCCATTTCCCAAAAACTAAAAATTGGAATGTTCCGTTTGCTCCTTCAGATCCACTTCCCAAAAACTAAAAATTGGAATGTTCCGTTTGCTCCTTCAAATCCACTTCCCAAAAATCAAAAATGGGAATGTTCAGTTTGCTCCTTCAAATCCACTTCCTGTAAAGAAAAAATGGTTTAAACCTGGTTTAATCCCAGTTTAAACCCTGTTTAAGCCCGATTTAAACTGGTTTAAACCCAATTTAAACTGGTTTAAGCCCAGTTGTAGCAGGCTTAAGCCAGATTTAAGATGGTTTAAGCCCGATTAAAACCATTTTCAGCCCAGTTTAAGCCGGTTTCAGCCCGGTTTAAAATGGTTTAAGCCGGTTTAAGCCCAGTTTTAGCCCAGTTTAAGCCAGTTTAAGCCCGGTTTAAGATGGGTTAAATCGCTTTCAGCCTGGTTTAAACCTGATTTAAGCCGGTTTTAGCCCGGTTTGAGCCAGTTTCAGCTCGGTTTAAGCCGGTTTCAGCCCGGTTTAAGCCAGTTTTAGCCTGGTTTAAGCCAGTTTCAGCCTGGTTTAAGCCAGTTTCAGCCCAGTTTAAGCTGGTTTCAGCCTGGTTTAAGCTGGTTTCAGCCCGGTTTAAGCCAGTTTTAGCCCGGTTTAAGCCGGTTTTAGCCCGGTTTAAGCCGGTTTTAACCCGGTTTAAGCCGGTTTCAGCCTGGTTTAACCCGGTTTAAGCCGGTTTCAGCCTGGTTTAAGCCGGTTTCAGCCTGGTTTCAGCCTGGTTTAAGCCAGTTTCAGCCTGGTTTAACCCAGTTTAAGCCGGTTTCAGCCCGGTTTCAGCCGGTTTCAGCCCGGTTTCAGCCCAGTTTAAGCCGGTTTAAGCCGGTTTAAGCCGGTTTCAGCCGGTCTCAGCCCGGTTTCAGCCCGGTTTCAGCCGGTCTCAGCCCGGTTTAACCCAGTTTCAGCCTGGTTTAAGCCGGTTTCAGCCGGTCTCAGCCCGGTTTAAGGCCAGGCTCCGTGGCAGAGTCCCGCCGCCGGACGATCTACGAGTACCACCGCGTGGAGCTGGACGGCAGCAGGATCCGCAGCCTGTCGGCCGTGGAGTTCACCCCGCTGCCCAGTGAGTGCCCCTGGGCACCCCCGCACCCCAAAATCCCCCACGGACCCCGGCCGCCCCGGGGGACGCCCGGCAGGGCTGGGGGCGACGCCGCCCGTCCCGGGGTGCTCGGGGTGCTGGTGGCAGGGAGCAGCTCAGCCCACCCTGGGGTGCCTGGAGAGGAGCTCAGCCCACCCTGGGGTCTCCAGCCCACCCTGGGGTCTCCAGCCCACCCTGGGGTGCCCAGAGAGGAGCTCAGCCCACCCTGGGGTCTCCAGCCCACCCTGGGGTCCCTGGGGAGGACCTCAGCCCACCCTGGGGTCCCCAGAGAGGAGCTGACGCTGTCCTGGGGTCCCTGGGGAGAAGCTCACCCCAATCCTGGGGTCTCCAGCCCACCCTGGGGTCCCTGGAGAGGAGCTGACGCTGTCCTGGGGTCCCTGGGGAGAAGCTCACCCCAACCTTGGGGTCTCCAGCCCACCCTGGGGTCCCTGGGGAGAAGCTCACCCCAACCTTGGGGTCTCCAGCCCACCCTTGGGTCCCTGGAGAGGACCTCAGCCCACCCTGGGGTCCCCAGCTCAGCCCACCCTGGGGTCCCTGGGGAGAAGCTCACACCAACCTTGGGGTCTCCAGCCTACCCTGGGGTCCCCAGAGAGCAGCTCAGCCCACCCTGGGGTCTCCAGCCCACCTTGGGGTCCCCAGAGAGCAGCTCAGCCCACCTTGGGGTCCCCAGCTCAGCCCACCCTGGGGTCTCCAGCCCACCCTGGGGTCTCCAGCCCACCCTGGGGTGCCTGGAGAGGAGCTGACACTGTCCTGGGGTCCCTGGGGAGAAGCTCACCCCAATCCTGGGGTCTCCAGCCCACGCTGGGGTGCCCAGAGAGGACCTCAGCCCACCCTGGGGTCCCCAGCTCAGCCCACCCTGGGGTCCCTGGGGAGAAGCTCACCCCAATCCTGGGGTCTCCAGCCCACGCTGGGGTGCCCAGAGAGGACCTCAGCCCACCCTGGGGTCCCCAGCTCAGCCCACCCTGGGGTCCCCAGAGAGAAGCTCACCCCAATCCTGGGGTCTCCAGCCCACGCTGGGGTGCCCAGAGAGGACCTCAGCCCACCCTGGGGTCCCCAGCTCAGCCCACCCTGGGGTCCCCAGAGAGCAGCTCAGCCCACCCTGGGGTCTCTGGGGAGAAGCTCACCCCAACCTTGGGGTCTCCAGCCCACCCTGGGGTCCCAAGGGAGGAGCTCATCCCCACCCTGGGGTCCCTGGAATCCCAAAATTTTACTTTTGCACACTTCATTATTATTCATATCAAACCCTCCGAGCTCGTAACTACAGTGAGACATGGAGGGCAAGAAGAACAAGAGGAAAAAGGACAAAACCCACCCAATTTCCTCCTTTGGAACCTCCTATTTAAAACCCTAAAATTGTATTTTTGCACCCGTGCCACATTTAATTATTACTTCTATCAAACTTCTATTAATTTACCCTGTAAGGTTGAAAATTCTTTTCCATGGACACAGATCAGACACACCCAATTTCCTCCATCTTCTCCCCTTTGGAACCTCCTATTTAGAACCCTAAAATTTTATTTTTGCACCCGTGCCACACTTAATAATTACTTCTATTAATTAATCCTGTAAGACTGAAAATTCTTTTCCATGGACACAGATCAGACACACCCAATTTCCTCCATCTTCTCCCCTTTGGAACCTCCTATTTAAAACCCTAAAATTGTATTTTTGCACCCTTTCCACACTTAATTATTACTTATATCAAACTTCTATTAATTAATCCTGTAAGATTGAAAATTCTTTTCCATGGACACAGATCAGACACACCCAATTTCCTCCATCTTCTCCCCTTGGGACCTCTTATTTAGAACCCTCAAATTTTACTTTTGCACCCTTAATTATTATTTATATCAAACCCTCAGAGCTGGTAATTCACCCTGGAAGATGGAAAAATTCTTTTCCATGGATAAAAATCAGAGATATTATCTCTGGGGGCTGTGTCCAGGGGGATTTTGGCCCTGGACTCCCTCAGCTTTGGGGATGTTTTGTTTCTCTCCACGCCAAAATTTGGGGTTTTTTTTGGATTTTTTTGGGGTTTTTTTTTTGGTTTTTTGGGTTTTTTTGGGTTTTTTTTGCAGCCTGCCTGCAGCACCAGAGCTGTGAAACCTGCGTGGGCTCGGAGCTGCCCTTCAAGTGCAGCTGGTGCCACGTCCTGCAGAGGTACCTGCCACCTTCTCCTTCCCCTGGGGCTGTCCTGCTTTTATTTTATTATTATTATTTCCTTTTTTTTCGTTGTTTTTTGGGGTGTTGCTCTCGGCCCCATCGAGCCTTGAGCTGATCTCCGATCCCAAACCACCCCAAAATTGAATTTCCTGGCGGATTTGAATTCCGGGAGATGAGGCAGGACTCAGATTTTTGGGAGAAAGATTAAAAATGGGGGAAATTTATCCAGGTTTGGGTTGGATCAGAGGGAGGACTCCAGCAGGGAGGTGACGGCGTTTATCCAAAAATTCCCAACATGGCTGGGAATAAAATCTGGGATTTTTGGGAGCTGTGGAACTGCAGAACTTCCCACCCTCCTTCTGTCTTTTATTTTGACTCAATGATTTGGAAACTGAGAAATGCTTTAAAAACTTTTATTCCATTTTCAGTCTCAGGTGAAGGGTGAGATATATATATATATAAAAAACAGATGTTATAATATATAATATAGATATTATATTCATATAAAAACATATAAAAGAGATGTTATAATATTTAATACATATTATATACATATAAAAATATATAAAAGAGATGCTATAATATATTATATATCATATACATTTAAAAATATATAAAATGGATGTTATAATATATATTATATATATTAAAAAGTTATATATAAAACAGATGTTCTAATGTATAATATATATTATGTAGATTTTAAAAATGTATAAAATTGATGTTATAATATAT